GACGTCTTAAAATGTTCAAAACTTTACAGTGAAACCACTCGCTGCGCTCGTGGTTCCACTTTTGGAAATCTATGTGCGATTTGATGTACCTTGATAGGAYATTTAGCCTTTCATTATGGTAAATTAAAGTTAGAATGATTACTTTCAAGAGTTTAATATTTTTCAATAAAGTTAAAAAGTTAAATTGACAGTAAATCTAAAAAGCCTCTAGTTTCAAGTAAGAAAAAAAGTTTAGTTTTCAGTAAAGCTAGAAAAACTAATTTTTTATGTGCAAATATATCCGTCACAAACTAATGATTCCGTCTCCCAACCTCATCCCCAGGGCCCTCTCACGCTGAGCCCTGAAAAGGAGGTAGTGATTTTTCTATAGCGTCTATAGCTCGTGCTCTAGGCAAATATAATTGTTTGGAATAAGTCTTTCCCTGATTGCAATTTTATATTTTTCAGTGGTCCATTGCTGATGAGAGAGCACACGGTTGATTCAGGAAGAGGCTTGAATCCTAAGGGAAAGGAAAGTCAGCCCCTAGACCACGCAAGATCAATTTCTCCCCATAACCAGTGCTTTTTATCGTTTGCCTGGGTGACTAACTTTTATTGCTTGTTGTTGTACAACAGTGTACTAAGGACTCGTTTTGGAAAGTTGGAGACAAATCAATGCAAACGTGCAGTGCAGAGCAAATCTCACAATTAAAACTGAGTGCGTGAAGATGATCCTTTTACATAAAGTCCCGTATGCATTAGGTGAGATGACCTGAGGTGAGCCAAACCAAGGAGTCATTCTCGTTCCCATTCTCTACTCATTAGTCAAATCAAGCCTATTTTAAAACACTTATATTGGTACCTGGTACCTGTTTATCAACGTATTAATAAAGGATTGGTTATTGATTAGCGTACTTCCATCGAGTTTTGGGTGCACGCGGGAGACTTCTAAGCAAGAAGAAAACGTAAGAGTCGCACGAGACAGCAAAGTGTGACTCCAGCTTATTGAGTGCTTAAGGTGACTGCTTACTTTTGGAAATTGATTTAAGCTTTTTTTAAAACTTCGATTTTCCGAATTGAAATTTAATGCTGATCCCAAATCTGGAAAGAAAAATAGGGTGTCCCGAGCTCGTTTTCGAGATAATCAGCATTT